GAGTAAGTCAACAATATTTGTAATCCTGCATTTTTATGCTACAAAATATATTTTTTCAGATGGGTGTACAGTATATATCTGTAACACACATTCTCATTTCCTATTTTGGCAGGCTTACTAACAATTGCTGTTACTATTTTTTTTTTGCAAGACATGCATTAAATAAATATACTGAACATAAATTATCATTACAAATTTCCCATTTTTAGGGGGGTGCTGGCAAAGCATCAGCCCATATTGAAATAATGGGAACAATACTGTATAGTGAAATGATATGGATTTTATAAAAACTCAGCATTAAATGTAATGCAACGTCATTTTCTGGGCGAGTTCCAGAGACTCCCCAAAGCTATACCGGGCTGATATGTATGTATGTAATAGACTGTGAAATCAGTCAATTCAATTGGAGTTCTAGCCTACCGGGGACCACGAGCCAGAACCTGGGCCCCTCAGAGAGGCACGAGGAGCAATGGACTACAGTATAGAAACCCCATGTGGTTGGAAGCATTCTATGTCTACCATCTACCAGGTTAGGCACCCAGAAAGGTAAGCATCTCAAAACAAACTCCACCTGGTTAAAATTGCTACCAAAAACTGGACTATCAAGCAGAACTCCACAATCTGAAAAAAGCAAACAAGCATGACGTCACAACCAATGCCGTGCCGCTGTCTATACAGCTTCCCCCTCCACAAAAGGGGTAAGGAGATACACCAGACCCCCCTCACACTGCCATCCAACCCTAGTTCAGAGGCTGAATATCAAAATGCGAAAACCACTGACCCGAGGGAGGGAGGGAGGGTTGCCGGGGAGCCTCCGGCAATCACCAAGAAAATGGCATTTCATTACTGTACATTCAACGCTGGCTTTCTGTGGAGAGCCCCTCTGGCTCCCTCGGAGCTACCTAACCACAGAAAAAAGAAAAGAGAGACTTACCCAGGAGGCGGCCGCCACCACTCGCATCTCAACGAGAAGCTGAGACAACTGGCCACAACCAGCGACCCAAAGCGACACACACCCAACTAGGAGCTAGGAACATCAACGAGGTAACAGACGGCCAGGATCCTGTTCGACCTCGAAAATCCTTGCACCCGAATGTCAGCCCAAGACATTACTGTACCAAAAACAGCAGCTAAAGCAACAAATTTGTGAATGTCATGGCCACGAGGATAGATCGCAGGTTGGCCGGACCAAATAACCCTGTGGATGACCTGGGAAACCCGAGCCCAGGAAAACTGGGTCAACCCAAAGGACATCCCTGGTCCCAGAGGCCGTGGCGTGCAAACAATGGAGAGAGCCACAACCGGACACAACGCATGATGAACCCCCGGCTGAACAAACCAAGCATCAACCACCCAAGCACCCCTCCAGAAATCTACCGTCTCATTCTTTGCCAGAAAAGAAGGAGAGGGTTGCATACGAACAAACCTGTTACCAGGACTGAAAGAGCAAAAACTCCCTGCACTGGAGGAGAGCATGAAGCTCCCCAACCCAACCCCCCAGAGGCCAAGGCCAAAAAAAAAAAAAAAAGGGGGGGAAAAAAAAAAGAGCCTTGTCAAAACAATTCTGAACCAAAGGAGCCACCACAAACCTAGACGAGAGAAAACAGAGCACTCGGTCCAACGACCAGTACAACTCAGGCAGCTCACAAGCAGATCGGAGGTGAAACAACACATGAGACAGCTTGTGAAACAGAGCGGAAGTAACATCCACCCTGAATGCAAGCAGGAGCGGCTCAGCCAGCACCACTCGATACTAGGTGACAGTATTCGGCATAAAGTTACGGTCCTGAAACAACCAAGGGAGAAAGGACAAGATAACCCGACGAAACTGGAGCCAACCTCCGAAGAAACAAAGGGTAAGTAAAGGACTGCCAGGAGACTTCATACTGTCACTTAGACGAAACTCGTAGGTGGGACACCATCAAAGAGCCACCTAATCACCATACAAATAGACCCGCATCAGAAAAACCAGACACAAAGATCGGAGGAGAAGATCGAACAAGCTATGGACTGGATTGGACCGAGCTGCTGAAAAAGGAGGAGCAGAGGAAAAGTCCCCTTCTACCACAGTAGAGGTTTCACGACACTCAAGTGTGCTGATCTGACAGAACAAATGCCATGACCCCAATGAATAGAAAGGACAGTCTGCTAATCAGGATGACTTCGATACCCTGTAATGCACCCAATATGGAAAAGTAGAACCGAGCTCAAATGAGGAAGGGTCCATTATCGAGGCAAAATCCAGGTCATGCAGGAGGTACACCGCAATGGCCTCCTGAACCTCCTTAGGCAAGATACAAGAAGCCGAAAACTTCCGGAAGAACAGGACCAAATAACCCAAGGGAACCAGGAACTGTAGACAGGGAGGAGCCGAACCCACATCAAATTCGTACAAGAAGGGGGGGGGGAGAGGGGAGAAGAAACCCCACCTTGTAACAACAAGCCCTACGTTAAGGGTACCAACACCTAAGTGGGCTCAAATGGGGCCCAAGCACCCCCAAGTCAACTCCTCCCCAGCCCTGGGATCTTCTACGCCAGGACCAAGGGCAGAGCTGTCCTCCAAACCCTCTGCTCCTAAAGAAAAGGCAGTCAACCGGAAAAGCTAGGAAAAGGAGGGGTCCACTGGTCATACTCCGAAGCCCCAGATGGAGTAGCAGGCTCAAATGCATCTATCGCCGAACCGGAATGGGCAGCCCATGAGACCGCCCGAGTCCTACCACCATCTACACCCTGCCCTGACTCCAAAACTCTCAGATGTTTGGAAGCCGGCAGCTTAGCAGGGCAAAGCCGAGGGAGGTGCAGACAAAACCCAAGTCGAAGCGACTAATGCCCCAAAGTCCGGGTCCCTATAACCAAAGTGGGGCAGCCACGAGGCTTCCGGAAAGGCATCCAATCTAGCGTGTTGCAGCAACCAAAACCATGCATGCAACGCTTATGCCGCCTGTACCCTATTACCAGTACCAGTGGACTGGGTGAATTGGAAACCCAGCAAAGGACACCACTCGCAGGACTCCCGAGTCGAAGGTGTCACAGACCCAAACAGGCAGAATGATGGAGGCAAAACTGGTAAATGTCACCCTGAGACAAGGGGGAACAGAGCAACCTTTTTATAATATAATAATAATAATTTTATTTAGGTAAGGTACATACATAAAGAGATTTTACAAAGTTTGTTGGCTTTATAGATAGAGCTAGTACATACAATGCCTAAAGCGACTATTATGCAAAGCGTTTTGGGCAGGAGACTTTTTACTTGCACAAGGCGAGATGGGACCCAGAGGACGCATCCATTGGACCAATGATTCCCAATGGGGTTTTCCAGGACCTTTAAGCTGACTGCTAAGGGAAGCCCAGGCAAGGTACTGCTAACTGGTTGGCCCAAACTACAGAGATATCAATTAAAGCTGAACCACTGTGCCGTGTACAATCACAGGAACCTAATGGAGAACTGCCAGATTAACATAGGAAGGGCAATAACCAAGGGGCAGACCCCCCCCCACCAGGCAACAAACATAAAGAAAAAGAAAAACCCTGCAAAAGTACAACGTCTCCAGGAGGAACAGAACCAGCCGCTGTGTAATAGGTGACAAGCTGCACAGTACTATGCTTTCATGGACCGAAGGCAAGGTACAAATTCTACAAATTCCCAGCGAAAATACTACCTCCTACCCAAGATCAAACGGCAGAAATGAAAACTACAGATGACCCCCAAGGACGGGCAATCACCAAGCAGCAAAAGATCCCTACAGAGGTAGTTCCCAAATGACATGTAGAAGGCAACACCCAAGCCACAAGGGCAGTACTTACAGGGCATCTAGGGAAGGTGGCCCTAGGCGCATGCAGCCCCAGTACTCCGTGAATTACTCCTGGCTTGCACACCACTACACAGCAGACCACATCCGCAAAGGGACAGCAATGCGAGCCAGAGTCGAGCGACTGCCACACAACACATCGGTCTCAGAACTGGGGTGGGATGGTTAGCGCAAGGGGTCTGGGGCTCCCCTTTTCCCCTCCCAAGGAGGGGGGGGAGCTGCGCAGACGGCTGTGCGGTGGCAATTGTAACGTCATGCTTGTTTTCAGATTGTGGAGTGCTGCTTGATAGTTCAGTTTTCAGTAGCAATTTTAACTAGATGGAGTTTGTTTTGAGATGCCTACCTTTCTGGGTGCCTAACCCAGTAAATGGCATACATAGAATGCTTCCAACCACATGGGGGTTTCTATGAGCCATTGCTCCTTGTGCCTCTCTGAGGGAGTCAGGTTCTGGCTCATGGTTCCCAGTAGGCTAGAACTCTAATCGAACTGACTGATGCCACGGTCTAATACACACATATCATACCGGTATAGCTCTGGGAAGCCGGAGGGGCTCTCCACAGAAAACACAATTTGTCTATTCTTTAAATTATTCACACTATATAGCATCATGGATGAACAAGCACCCCTACACTCCTAGTGAATTGTCATATTCAAGATAAACAAATGTAAACTCCCCATTTACAAACCACTTTCATACAGTCTTGTTCCCTTCCACAACACATACCATACATTATTCACACTTGAATCCCTCTTCCTTACACCCACTCACATTTCTGACCATCATCCTTGACTTCCTCTTTTACATTCAATTTAACTTTAAAACACTCTCATCATCAATTAGTTCAACATGGTCAAATGATATTGGTATAGTCTTCTCAATCTTGCAATTTATCAATGTTTGCACACATCTCTCTCCATGACATTTTCATTCCTTAATCCATCTATTCTAATACCACACACATTTTACTTCTCAGATTGTACATTTCTACTATTCTAATTTCCGGCAATACCATTGTGAGGTACTTTTTCTAACCAGGACATTCAATGCACCAGCCACTTTCCTCTCAATCACCAAATTTATCAGATAAAACATTTAGTTTCACAATATAAACTTATAGTTAAAATATTCGTCACTTAACTGTACAAGACTTAATGATACAATAATAAATGAAATATGGATGTTGTACCTTTGGAGAAAGACGTGGGTCCAAAAGCTGGTGTGCAGGACGAATTCTCAATTTTGGCATTTTTGGCGTTTGCTGGTTTATTGTAGAGGCCTCTCTTAGTATCGACTGGATTGAATCTTGAAGTGAAGATCCAGTATTTCCCTCAGAAGATGTACTGATGTCCAAAAAGCTGTCTGAAGCCTGAGGGGGATCTACAGGTGCTGTTTTCTCCTTTCCATCTGTATCAATATCTTCACATATCACTAAAGTGTCGGAATCACTATCATCTTCATTGACATTTTGTGTACTTGTACACACATCACCTGCTACAGGTTTCTGCTGTGGTTCTTGCTTCTTTTCCAGATTTTCCTGCTGCTTTTTTTTAGAATCTTCATCAAGCTTAGCAGAAAGCTTTCTGATTGTATCCTGAAGAAAACCTTTACCTGGAGCTATTTCATCATCAAAAACATCAGTATCAATTGCACTCACAGTAGACTCGCTATCACTTTCTGCCGAATCATTTTCATTTATTGCAATCCCCTGCATATCTTCACTGGCATTTTCTGCATCATTGTCATTTTCAACAACCACCTCATCACCTTCCTCTGTAACTGATGTCTGTTCTTTTTTATCATTTTTAGTTTCATTTGGTTTTTGCTCTTCTACTGTACCTTCATCTGCCTTTCCCACTTTTTCCATTAAAACACCACTCGTATCTGTTAAAGCTGGTAACACAGAGATGGCAGGTGATTGCTCTTCCCCAGTTAAATTTTTTGGACATAACTCTGTTTCATCTTCTTGAGTATCCTCATCCAGTTTTTTACTAATAGAGTTTAACAAAGACATTCTCTTATGGGCTTCTTGAACAGACATTGTAGTATGAATGTTTAAGGATATTCTATCTACAAGCTGCTTGGCCTTTTCTTCCACCTCTTTTTCATCAACTTCTTCGTCTCCAACAAAAACATCAAGATCAGGACCCTTTTTACCCTTTTTCTTTTTTTTACCTTTGTACTTCGGGCGGGAAACGGGGGTACTTTCAGAATCGCCAGAAAATTTCCGTAGCTCTGAGTGCAACACAATATGCCTGCTCATGTTGGCCTTGTGAATATCTGCTTTACCTCCATGACGATGTTTCACATGCTCTTCAGCTGCACCTAAGCCAATTCTAACAAACATGCATACTTTACAAACATGGATGTACAGCCAACCATTTTCTTCAATCATTCCTAATATGAAGAATTTCTCTGGTTGGTTATGGTGGCATTCTGTATGATGTGACTGAAGAAGGGACAATTTATAAGTACGATGACCACAAAGTTCACAGCTGTAGCGATACTCGCCAGTATGACTAGAAACATGATTGTAAAATTCTTCCTTTTTTTCAGACATGTAGTTGCAAAGACGACAATGATAAACACATGAAGCTGCCTTGGGAGAATGCTCTAAAACATGATAAATTAAATCAAAACGACTGTTAGATATGTAGTCGCACTCTTTGCATGTAACACTTTTCTCAAAACTCATATTAGGTGGAATCCAGCACAGGTTCAGTGAAACATTCTCTTTCTTATTTATTTCCTTAGGAGGACCAACATGATCCTTTATCACAGGTGGAAAGTCTTCTTTCTTGAATTCACATGGTAATTCTCGATCTGTGTGAAAGTTAACTATGTGATTAGCCATGTGTCGGCCAAAATAATCACACATGTCACACTGAAACAAATCCACCACTCCCCCATCATCCCATTCAACGACCTCTGCTGTTAGGGGCTCCACCACAGAGCCTCGAGTCACTCGTCGACATTCTACCGAGGGCACAGACACAGATAATTTACTTCTCTTTCCCTTCTTAACTTGAGACTCTGGAGTTTTTAGATCCCGACCTTCACTAGAAACCACTGACGCATCATCTACAAAACTGCTTGTACTCACTTTCCCCACACTAGCTGCATCATCATCACCATCAATATCTTCATTGCTAATTGAAGTATCACCACCATTTACATCCATTTTGACTGATGTTTCAAATTTAGCATTGCTGTTATTAGTAATCTTCATAGTTTCTGTACTACTTTCACGAACAATGTTACTTTTTTCACTTTGATCCTTTTTAAAGGCTGGCAAGTCCTTTCCATCATCATTCACTTTACTTTCTTCCAAAGCTTGACACTCTCTTGTAAGTAAATTTCCAGTATCATCTGAGGATATGCTCTTATTTTTGGTGATCTGCATAGCACCTGACCTCTGCAAATTTACAGATGCTTCTGTAGCTGATGTTTGCTCTATGGCACTTCCTTCTTTTCTTGAGTTTATATCTTCTAACTTTTCTTTCAACTGGCCTCTGTAATTGCCTTCTGCACTGTTTGTTTCATCAGCACAAGAAGCAGTTATAATTGAAGACTCCATAGCATCATTCTTTTCTACCGAGTTTAAGTCTTTAGAAATAAAGTGTACTTTGGAAGGATCATGTTTATCATCATTTGCCTTATCAGTTTTGTATTTTCCCTCTCCACTTTCAATTACCATATCAATCATTTCATCTAAAACGTTGTCATCTTCCTTAGACTTTGTGACAGCAGATTCATTTGAAGAAAATCTTCCTTCAATTATTTGCAACTTTTCTGGAGACCAGTTATCACTCAAGTCACTTTTTGATGAAATAACATTATCAGTTATTTGATGACTTGCATGAGGAGGACTCAAAACATTAGCAAGGGCAGATGCATTTGGCAAAACATTGCAAATGGTTGGGTCCACATCTAACAAGCTCGGTGTAATCTGAGTAAGGTCAGGCAGTTCATCGGATGAGGCATCATTCTCAAAAAGATCAAATTGATGTGTATTTTCTCCCCCACTTTTGAAGGAGGAATCTTGAATGTCCAAGCGTGACTTTTTCCTATCTGTTCCTTTAGTTGGTGATGTCAAAACCCGCTTCGTGCTTTCTCCAGGGCTCTTAATAATGACCACATCTTTATCAGCAAGGTTATCTTGTTCTGGTGAATAATTACTAGATATTTTCCTTGCTTTTTTCACCTGAGCAATATTCATGACATTTGCAACGCTGCATATTTTCCTTTTCTTACCTTTTCTAGAGGTTGGGGTGCCAATGGCTACCTCCTTCCTCAGTGCACTATTTAATTTGGAATTAACTGGAAGGAACATTTCATCATTTGAGTCACTATCTTTAGCTTGATCCCAATCTTTCTCATTTGTTATAGCGACAGGAATTACACTCTGCTTTGAAGCTTTTGTAACTTTTCGCAAATTGCTGCCACTGGAAATTGGTATTTCAATCTTGACCTTCACAGATGCTGCAGTTTCTGTTATTTTCTTCACATCTTCTGCTGGTTGTAATACCTCTGAAATTTTTTGTCGTCCACCTCTCTTTTTTAGCTTATCATCAGCACATAATGTGATTACAAATTTATGAGGAACAGGAATCAACACTTTAAGCTTATTCTTCTCAGGAATTAATTCTTCAAGTTCACCCTGGGTATGACGTGTTAATTTGAGGCCCACAGAAGAATGCAGGTCAGTTTCATAATCAGTTATATATTTATCTTTACTTTTCTTACCACGTACCTTTCGAGCAGATGAACCATTCTTGGTTGGTACTTTCTTTTTATTTTTAGTAGACCCTGTTCCTTTCTTCTTTCCTTTTTGTTTACCAACAAAAACTTTGCTTTTCTTTTTTTGCTTAACTTTCTTCTTTTCTTTTACCTTTACAGGTAATGGCTGATCAAAAGGTTCTTCCGACACCTGTGAGCTTACTTCAGATTCTTCAGTTTCATCTGCATCTGACACAACAGTTTCATCAATAACCATATAACCCTCATCGTCATCATCATCATCATTGCTAGGATCAATCTTATCACTGCTAGTACTTAATGACTCACTTTTAGAGCTACTAGATTTATTTTTCTTTAGTTTTTCATCCCCTTCCGAATCTGAATCAGAATGAATAACAATTTTCTTAAATTTCCTATTCTTCTTGTTTGCTACTTTTATATCTTGCCAATCATCATCAGACTCAGATAAATCCTTTGCCGAGGATTTATACTTTCTATTGCTTGTTGCAACAGATTCATTTTTGGCATTTTTCTTTTCGGATCCTTCAACTTTACTCTTTCTTTCATCACAAGCTGTATCCTTTTTCTCACTTTTTTGTGTATCCTTTCTAATCTTTGGAATTTTGAAGCTTAATATCTTACTAGATGATTTTGGTGGTACTTTAACTCCACAAAGCTCTGAATACTGGTTTGTATTTCCACTAATATCATTTAATCCTTTCTCAGGCTCTTGTGATTTGCTTGATGAAACAGGTTTATCTATGCTTGTCACAGAAGAAGCAGTGGCAGAACTGGGTTGTAATGGCATACCTGTAGATTCTTTCGGTCGAGACTTAAAGAATGGATTTCCATTTCCCCTAGGTCGCTCAGGAATGCGTAATTGAGCCTCTCTATCGCGGTTTAATTGCTCATAGGCATTTTTAGCTTGTCGTAGAATTCCAACCGTGCATATTCTGAGTGATATTTGATAACCCTGTAAAACATGTCCATTCATGAGTTCCAAGGCTTCACGAGCACTGGCATGACTGGGAAAATGAACATAGGCTGTGCCCTTACACTGGTAGTGGCTATCTAATTCGATAGACATATCACGTAGGATATATTCCTGAAAGAAGTGATAAATGTGATTAGAATTTGTAAAAGGAGGCAAACCTCTCATCATCAAGCATGTAAAAGTTTGTCCAATCAGGGACCCACTGGCAGACTGAGACGGATTAGGGTCCACCGACCCTATACTTGAATTAGATGGCTGAACAGGATAATTCACAGGTAATGCAGGTGTCTGTTGTGCCTGCCAAACACTTCCTGCTGTTCTCTCCCCCCTAGAAGTCATACGTGGATCTCTGCACTGGGATCCTGCCACAGTAGGGTAAATACAAGTTTCTTGTCGAGGATCCCTGCTTCCCCGAGCTGGACCACTGGAGTAATTACCTAAATCTTGTCTAGGGTCACGAGCTGGTGTTTTGGATCCAATATAACTGCTTGAATCATGCCTTGGATCTCTAGCCTGAGGCCCAGTTGCAAGAGGAAATTTCCCTGGATCTTGTCTCGGATCTCTGTTTACAGAACTAGACACACCAAAGAAATTCCCAGAATCATCTCGTCCATCTCTAATCAAGCCACTTGAAAAATTTGAAGAATCTTGCCGAGGATCCCGATTAGTTTGTTGCCTTGGGTCCCTAAAACTTGATAACCCTCCTGTTGTTGAAGTTGTAGATAATCTTGGATCTCGACTCCTTGATACACTTGGTGTGGCTTCATTCTCTGTAAGAGACTCCTGATGCTTTAACCTTGGATCTCTTGGAAGTTGTGCCGAAACATTCTGATTAACTTGTCGAGGGTCTCTCACAGATGCAGAACCTTCTTCCATTTCTGCATCGTTTGCTTTATTTTCTGGTAAGAGTAGGTCGAGTACAGACATAGATTCATTGCTCTTAGTGCTTGGGTCAGACTTTGATGACATATTTTCCTTAGTGTTTATGCCTGGAGTATATGTTGGCGATTTTACTTCTGGTAAACTACTTGTTTGTCTCTTTAACTTGTACTTTTCCATTAGAGTAGCAGCTACACCCTGTTGACCAGGCTTAATAAGTTCAGCAGCTTGATGTGCAATTCGAGAACGAATGCTGTCTAATCTGCTTACCACATATTTATGCCCATCTTTAACAGGTACCTCCTCTGTTGGTTTACTTGTGGTATGTGCTTGAGAGCTAGATGATTTTGGAGAAGGATGTGGTTCAGGAGGGGGTGATTTTGGTAATGGTGGTTGAAATTTTGTAGGTGGTGGTGGCTGATGTGGTTTTGGCAATGGAGGCTTAACTGATTTTGGCAACGGGGGCTGAGGTGGTGTGGAAGATGTGGGTGCAGTAGATTTTGGCAATGGAGGCTGATGTGGTAGTGGTGGCTGTGCTGTAGGTAATGGAGGTTGAAGTGACTTCGGTAGTGATGGTTGCTGTGATTTGGGAAGTGGAGGTGGAGGATGAGGAAGTCTCATATCTATATCAATTATATTTTCTTGTAAACTATGTGAATCATTTGATCTTGTACTGGAAATACCTTGAAACCAACCAGCACCAGAAGTTACTGAATGTGTGCTGGTAGTACTACCTGACTGACTGTGTGGAATATGGCTGGTTGGTTTATCACAAACTGGACCAGTAGCAGCTTGCCTTTGAGGAAGAGGAATATTGGAGAGTGAAACCATCATGCCATTTCCTGAGTCAGGAGTTGTAGCTCCATCTTTCATATGTGGCACTTGACCAGGATGGGGAATCTGTCTCTCCTGCATTTTGGCCTGGTAGCCATGAGGTAGAGGTATGTTCTTTGGTATCTGCCGAAGATCAACATCCTTCTGACCCCTGACACCAGGATGCCGAGACGCCGCTTTTTCTGCATCCTGGCTGTTCCACACTTCTTCTGGATCATAGGGCTCATCTTCATCAACTTTTGATTTTGAAGCAGGCCCCACAAAATCCTCATAACGGTAGGATGGGCCTTGTCCAGTATTAGAAGTATTTGCATTAGGTCGCTCATTAGCACGGATCTGTGCAAGAGCTTTCTTTATTGCTTCCAGATCAACCCCTTTTTGTGTAAGATTTTCAAGAGGTATGGTTTTCACTGGTGTATTTTCTTCAGAAGAAACAATTGGACTGAATGATGCCTCCATATCAGGGGACTGAGGAGTGTCCACACTTAATCCATAACTAGGAGACTGGTCTGGTGATAAAGGTGTATCACGAGGGGTGACTTGGTTTTCTCTCAAGTGAGAAGTCTGCTGTAAAGCAGCATTAGGATTGTTTGAATGAGAGCCACTCACTTTCCAATGGCATGACTGGTCTCTTGAATCACTACTTCGGCTGAGAGAATATTCCTTTGTCACATTTGTGCTATGAGACGGCCTTGCAGCCTTATCATCATACTGAGATCTGTGTCTTTGGTGACGATGTTCTCCTCTGTCATCTGTCATTTCAGATGTAGACTGACTTGAACTTCGCCGAGTAAAAAACTGGTCTCCTCTGGCTCTAACTTCATCTCTCCAGCCTCGGGATCTTGATGATGATGAAGATGAAGAACCAGCTTCCCCTTCTTTTGGTGCAGATGAATCTCCAAATATCCCAAAAAGTTTTTGAAGCTTCTCTCTAGAGCTCTGGAATTTTTCAGGATTTGGTTGTGATATATTTCCTATTTCACCAAAAGGAAATGGTAATTCATTGCTAGTGGCTGAAGGTGGCATAGGAAGATCAAGAAGACTGTTCCGCTTTGAAGTCAACTTTCCATCCTGGCCTTTCTCTTGCTCATTGAAGCTATGCTGACGCTCCACTCTGTGAGTCTCTCTCTCCCTGTTGCGTTCTGTCTGTCTATCCTGAGCACTGTTCCCTCTGGAAGTATCACGTTTCTTTTCTCTCTCATGTTCCTTATCTCTGGAACTGCTTCCTCTATCTCGGTTTCTCTCATATTCTCTTTCATTTGTCGATCTAATTCTCCCATCTCTCTCAGTACTCCGATCCATTCCTCTATGTCTGTTAAAATCATGATCTCGTTTTCTTTCAAAATCTTTGGATCTTCTACTTTCGTGATCTTTTTCCCGACTTCTTTCAGTTCCACGTTCTCTGTTTCTCTCAACACGTCTTGACTCATTTCGATCAAACTCCCTTCCTCGATTTCTTTCATAGCTACCTTCCCTAGAAATCTCCTTTCCTCTCTCTCTCATTCTTTCATTATGTCCCAGGTCCCTTGGCTTTTCTACTTCCCTTCCACTAGGATCTCTTGTACTTTTCCATTCCATTGATGTGGATTTTGCCACTGGTGATGATTTGGGTTGTTGCATTGGGCTCGCACCACGTCCAGAAGAAGATCTACCAGCACCTCCATGTACATGGCCAAAACTATGCCCTGATTTATGACCCGATTCTAGGCCAGAAAGATTTTTTCTCATTCCAGATTGGCTTGTTTCAGGTTCAGTGTAACTCGAACCAGGTCGAGAATGATTTCGTTCAGTACCAGACTGACTTGGTTCAGGTCCAGAATGACTTTGCTCAGAGCCACTAGAACCAATATCCGTTTTAGGACTAGATCCGGCTACAGGTTTCTGAAATATAAATCTGAATCAGTACACTACATCTGAAGAAAGATCAAAATACGATTACTATCTCCATGCACAGTATGAAAATAAAAAGTTTTACTCTAAGTACCACCTCCACTGTTTAAACATTTCTTAAAACTAGAAACCCTCATCGCTAATGATCTACCAAGCACCATCTCCATTGCAACAGTACTGTTTTTGCTAAACATTCCATTAACTGCATTAGCATCATCACTTGATATATTTAACCAATGTTATGGATTGGGATCACAATTTTACACATAGAAATGGAGAGGAATCGTGTATTCGTTTACGTACACTTTGCAATGCTTCTTTTCACAAGATCCCGGCATACAAAAACGTATGCATTTTAAGTACAATACAGTAATTAGTTCATGCTTAATTAGAACCAAGTAGATAAAATTAACGTGTAAAAAGCAGGCTTTGCATTTTAACAAAAAGTTTCTTATTCATCATCATGATCAGTCAATTCCTGAGACAAAATCTGACTGGGTCCAAAGAATGAGATATGTGCAGTCATTGTACAGCAACAAACTGCAGGATCAGTTTTAGGAAGATTTGTAAGTCATATTGGTGCTAGTGAGAACTAGAGAACCTTCAATCCAGGACTGAACTCCTATATGAAATTTACATAAGAACTAAAAAATCCCCTATAAGCACACCTCATGACCAAGCATGACATCCAAGTTCTTGGAAATAGTCAGCCAAATAGCCACTACTCCCAACTTTCCCCAAGCAGCAGCACTAACACAACACACTGCCCCAGTTCAATCTACCCACCTACTTCCCAACACAAATAAAAAGTTATGCAAAAGTGAATAGCAAAAGAATCACTCAAAACAAAGAGGTTCATATTAAACTAGTTATGAAACAACAACCTCTGCCCTCCTCAACAAGCTACCAGCTGTCGGTCTTGTAGCTGATGAGCAAAAGTAACTTTTGCCTTCCCTAACCTGCCAATCATCCAGTTCTGCTTCTTCTCTAAATGCTAGCCATCCTTAGGACTCTGTCCTATGGGAGCCTTTTGCTAGCATATCATTCCTTCCTTTTTTGATATTTTGCTTCACAAGTGTGTTTTCAAGCCACAGTATTGAGTGAACTGGGCTTTATACTTGCTTGGGGCTGGCTGCCTGGGCCTGGGTCACTATTCCCCAGGTGCTCTTTTCGCATTGCCCCTTGCATAGCCAGAGTTGCTTTTCTGGTGTGTTCGGGAGTGTGTCCCTAAAAGGCCTAATATTTCACTATTTTCTATGGGCTAATTATACTGAGCAAAATTTACATTTCAACCGATCATACGACATCCCAAAACTAGAAAACCTGTGAATAAATAGATTTTACCACATGTAGCTTATTTCTCAGGCTCCAGCCTCAAAACCTCATTTTCAATGGCACTAAGTCCACACCTGGGTTAACAAAAATCATGCCAACTCAAAATGAAAACTAACTGAAGAATTTTGTTTTAAATTTCCATTTCTCTTAGAGTTACAGCCATATTAAAAAAATAATTCAAATCCTGATTGGAGTCACATTAGTGAGGTTACTATAGCAACAATACCTCACTGCCCTGGTGGATTTTCTCATTGATATATATCACGTTAATGCGATTTCTGTGTTTGGACCAGAGCCAGAACCTGGCCCAAGGAGATGATGATGATCTGTCACCTCACCATGGAAAGCACCCATAAAGTCAGCGAGCGAAAACAGACAACTGCTGGTTCAAGAAGAAAACGAGGCCTCAAAACCTGCCCACTGAACTTCTCCAACTATGCAAACAAACGAATTTCTCAAGACTAACATGTGCTCTCCACCTCTTCCCCCTCATTTAAAGGATAAGGAGGTTTGGTACCCACACCCTCCAAGGGCTTGAGTTCTCAGTTTTGGAACAAATGCACACACATTCCCTCCCAGTGACCTAGAAGGGAGGGAGGGAATCGGAGTCACAGGTGACCACCCAGAAATTGGCATTTCATTACATTCAGTGCTGGCTTTCTAGGGCAAGCCCCTTGTGGCTTCCTGAAGCTAACTACCCATGGAAAAGGAGAAACTACAGGGATTTACCAAGGAAGTAGAACTGCAGGCAGTCAAAACGAGGACGAGACTTGAGGGCGAGAGACCCGACCCAATGTCACACAAGGAAGGTGAGGCCCAGGAACATTAACTGAATACCAGGCCACTAGAATCCTGTTAGATCACCAACAATCCAGCACCTGACTATCAACCCAGGAAATAGTAGCAAACATAGCCGCTAGAGCAGCGCATTTACGAACATCATGGGCACAAGGGTAGACAGCAGGCTGGTTAGACTTAATAATACTGTGAATGATTTGAGAAGCCTTGGAACAGGGACCCAACAACACAGGATCTACCCACCAAGGCAGATTCCGTGCCACAAAGTTGGCAGCAGAGAGTTGCTACCGGACACAGCACATGAAGCACCCCTGACTGAACCAACCATCAAGAAACAAAGTACCCCCCTCCAGAAGCTGGTCGACTCGTTCTTCTCCAGTAAAGAAGTACGGTAGTTGGCTGCAAACTAACAAAATGCTCACCAGGGCCAAAAGACCTAAAACCCAGCCTCCGGAAGACAGCATGAAGCTCCATGACGTGTAGCGGCTCCACCAATGCCATGCGATATGAGGCGACAGTATTTGGCATAAAATGACGATAAAAAAAATAGTCAAGAAAGAAAGGAGAGGAACAACAATAAAGAGGCAAAAGGAATACCAAGAAATCTCATACTACTACCGAGAAGACAACCACATGTAGATCATCATTTAAATAGCCATCTGCTTGCAGTAAAGATGATGATGATGATAAGAGACGTGTCAAAAAGTCCCGACACAAGGAGCAGAAGAGAAGGTCAAACCAGAGAACTAAGTCACTGGGCCAATTTTCTGATAAAAGCAGAGTCATGGAAAAACATCCGGATTCCCTTCCCCTGGTAGAATTCCAACCTGACTAGGACCATGGTTGTAATCCTACCAGGTGGCCTTGTTAAACACTTACAAATCGTACATTACTGGGTAAAATTGTCAAAGACAATGATAATATTAACCAAAGGCAATATCTTGAGTAAAATACCAAACATGCAAATTTTATCAAACAATGTAAGTCAAATTATTTCATACAGAGTATTACTTACCCCCTGGGCTTTCTGAACCTTTTCATGCATGCTGCGTATAACAGCTTCCATCTTCTCTAACATCTCCATTCTCGGCCTATAAAGTGACAAAAATTCTACAATAATAGAGGCCCATAACCATAAATAAAAATAAATTTGTCTTAAACTACTTGTCTTTTAAGTAATAAATTATTACTTTAATAGGTAATTTTTAATTACAGATTAATTCAGAGAATTCAAACTCAGATACAGAGAATTCTTCCCTATTTATTTGACTGAATCCCATTACTATTTAGTACATAGTGATCACATCGCCTTTTTTCTTCCATCTTCTAGTTTTGGCATATTTAATGCCTCTAACATCTCCTCATAGCTCTTGTCCTTCAGTTCCGGGAACCATTTTGTTGCTTGTCTTTGCACCTTTTCCAGTTTGTTGATGTGCTTCTTAAGATATGGGCACCATACAACTGCTGCATATTCCAGCTTTGGTCTAACAAAAACCATGAACAATTTCCTAAGTATTTCACCATCTATGTATTTAACAGCAATTCTGAAATGGAAGAGTGTAGCATAGGCTACTCGCACGATGTTCTTTATGTGGTCCTCAAGTGATAGTTTTCATCTAGAACCCCCCCCCATAGATCTCTTTCTTTATCATTACTTTTTTAATATTTTTCACATAATTTGTAGGTTGTGTGGAGTCTATGTTCTCCTATTCCACACTCCATAACATGGAATTTAATGTGAATAAATGCCATTTGCCAAGTGGTGCTTATTTTGTCCAGGTCTTCTTGAAGGTTGTGTATTTGCATGTCCATAAGTAATGAATCTGTTACCTACAGAATATTGAAATAGATACTGTCATGTTCATATTTACCACTGCTTATCGAGATGCAGTCACCACACATCATCTAGGTGAACAAAAAGCAGTGTGCTGTCAAACTCAGCCAATTTAGTCATGTAGTTCTATACTGTACTGAATTTAGACTACAAACATCAACTTAGGTAACAACCACAATTAATGCTTTGGTGTAGTTGGTGTGGTGTGGACCTCCAGAAATCACCAACCACAAAAACATGATGGGTATCACTGAATCACTAATTTATCTTCTATTTATTACTGCGAGATATTCAAAATGTCATGTAACCGAGATTAAACAGAAAACAAAATGCCACAAGATTAGTTGTCAACTTACATCTACTGTACACTCATGTAATTACAGTACTGATAGGCAAGCCCGGCAAAAACGTAATGTATGATATTACAGTTTAAATACATTTTATTCAATACCCTGTACAATGATTACACTTACGCTCTTGGTATTGGCTTTGTTAAAAACCCGTGAAGACCATGTAGTCGTTCTAATTGGCCATAGCTTGTCCCAATTTGTTGTGAACGTGCTTCTAGTTTTGAAATCATACGCTCCACAAATGGGACGTATGTGCGCAGATGATTAAGTTTATCTTGAACTTCTGAAACATAAAAATAAAAATACTTTATTAAATAAAAAGTTAAACAAACACACACTGCCACCCTATCATGGAACTCCCACCTGAAGAAACACACAAGGAAACCTGAAAAGGTTCAGAAGTTTGCAACGAGGCTTGTATGAGGGATGGGGAATGAAGAGCACCTGAAGGAAGTGAACCTGATTATACTAGAAAAAAGAATGGAGGGGGGGAGGATATGGCATACACACACATAAAACATTCACGGGGATTGACAGAGTGGAAATAGACGAAATGTTCACACAGAATTCTAACAGAACAAGGGGACATGGGTGGAAGCTGGAAACTCGGTTGAGTCACAGAGGTTACTTTTAGTAAAAGTTTTCTTTTAGCGTGAGAGTAATGGAAGGAAGTAATCAAATAATGAACTTGAGAAGCAGGTTGTGGAGGCAAACTCTATTCATAATTTTAAAACTAGATATGATAAGGAAATAGGACAGGAGTCATTGTTATAGACAACCGGAGGCTAGAAGGGCGGGATCCAAAAGTCAATACTCGATCCTGAAGGCACAAACAGGCAAGTACAAATAGACGAGTACACACACAAAGGGGGCCTGATAGCTAAGTGAACAGCGCTCTGGACAAGGGTCCGAGTTCGATCCCCGATGATGACAGAGACAAATGGGCACTTTATTTCACCCTGATAGTCCTGTTCACCTAGCAGTAAATAGGTACCTGGTAGTTAGACAGCTGCTACGGGCTGCTTCCTGGGTGTGTGTGTAATTACCTAAGTGTAGTTACAGGATGAGAGCTACGCTCATGGTGTCCTGTCTCCCCAGCACTCTGTCATATAATGCTTTGAAATTACTGACGGTTTTGGCCTCCACCACCTTCTCACTTAACTTGTTCCAACTGTCTACCACTCTCTTCCCGAGAGAGAATTTTCGTATATTTCTCTGGCAGCTTTGTTTCGTTAGTTTAAATCTATGACCTCTTGTTCTTGAAGTTCCGGGTCTCAGGAATTCTTCCCTATCAATTTTATCGATTCCTGTTACTATTTTGAATGTAGTGATCATATCGCCTCTTTTTCTTCTAATTTTTGCATATTTAATGCCTCTAACCTCTCCTCATAGCTCTTGTCCTTCAGTTCTGGGAGCCACTTAGTGGCATGTCGTTGCACCTTTTCCAGTTTGTTGATGTGCTTCTTAAGATATGGGCACCATACAACCGCTGCATATTCTAGCTTTGGTCTAATAAAAGTCATGAACAATTTCTTTAGTATTTCTCCATCCATGTATTTAAAAGCAATTCTGAGGTTAGAAAGTGTAGCATAGGCTCCTTGCACAATGTTCTTAATGTGGTCCTCAGGTGGGTGACAGTTTTCTATCTAGAACCACCCCTAGATCCCTTTCTTTTTCAGAATTCTTTAAAGATTTCTCACATAATTTATAGGTGTGAGTGTACTCACCTAATTGTGCTTGCGGGGGTTGAGCTTTGGCTCTTTGGTCCCGCCTCTCAACTGTCAATCAACTGGTGTACAGATTCCTGAGCCTACTGGGCTCTATCATATCTACATTTGAAACTGTGTATGGAGTCAGCCTCCACCACATCACTTCCTAGTGCATTCTATTTACTAACTACTCTGACACTGAAAAAGTTCTTTCTAATGTCTCTGTGGCTCATTTGGGTATTCAGCTTCCACCTGTGTCCCCTTGTTCGTGTCCCTCCAGTGTTGAATAGTTCATCCTTGTTTACCCGGTCGATTCCCCTGAGGATTTTGTAGGTTGTGATCATGTCCCCCCTTACTCTTCTGTCTTCCAGTGTCGTAAGGTGCATTTCCCGCAGCCTTTCCTCATAACTCATGCCTCTTAGTTCTGGGACTAGTCTAGTAGCATACCTTTGGACTTTTTCCAGCTTCGTCTTGTGCTTGACAAGGTACGGGCTCCATGCTGGGGCCGCATACTCCAGGATTGGTCTTACGTATGTGGTGTACAAGATTCTGAATGATTCCTTACACAAGTTCCTGAACGCCGTTCTGATGTTAGCCAGCCTCGCATATGCCGCAAACGTTATTCTCTTTATGTGGGCTTCAGGAGACAGGTTTGGTGTGATATCAACTCCTAGATCTTTCTCTCTGTCTGTTTCATTAAGTACTTCATCTCCTATTCTGCATCCTGTGTCTGGCCTCCTGTTTCCACTGCCGAGTTTCATTACTTTGCATTTACTTGGGTTGAACTTCAACAGCCATTTGTTGGACCATTCACTCAGTCTATCTAGGTCATCTTGTAGCCTCCTACTATCATCCTCTGTTTCAATCCTCCTCATAATTTTTGCATCGTCGGCAAACATTGAGAGGAACGAATCTATACCCTCTGGGAGATCATTTACATATACTAGAAACAGTATAGGTCCAAGGACTGACCCCTGCGGGACTCCACTTGTAACGTCTCGCCAATCTGAGACCTCACCCCTCACACAGACTCGTTGTCTCCTGTTGCTTAGGTACTCCTCCTCTATCCACCGGAGTACCTTCCCTTTCACTCCAGCCTGCATCTCCAACTTTCGCACTAGCCTCTTGTGTGGCACTGTATCAAAGGCTTTCTGACAATCCAAAAATATGCAGTCTGCCCACCCTTCTCTTTCTTGCCTAGTCGTAGAATTCAAGTAACCCTGTGAGGCAAGACCTGCCATCCCTGAACCCATGTTGATGCTGTGTTACAAAGTTCCTTCGCTCCAGATGCTCCACTAGTTTTTTTCGCACAATCTTCTCCATCAGCTTGTATGGTATGCAGGTTAGGGACACTGGCCTGTAGTTCAGTGCCTCCTGTCTATCCCCTTTCTTGTATATCGGGACTACGTTAGCTGCTTTCCAAATATCTGGCAGTTCCCCTGTTGCCAGTGATTTGTTATACACTATGGAGAGTGGTAGGCACAGTTCTCTTGCTCCTTCCTTTAGAACCCAAGGGGAGATTCCATCTGGGCCTATAGCCTTTGTCACATCCAACTCTAGTAAACACTTCCTTACTTCCCCGCTGGTAATCTCAAAGTCTTCAAGTGGTTCCTGGTTAGCTATGCCCTCTCTTACCTCTGGAATTTCTCCTTGCTCTAAGGTGAAGACCTCCTGGAATTTCTTATTCAACTCCTCACACACTTCCTTGTCATTTGTAGTGAATCCTTCCGCCCCTATCCTTAATTTCATAACCTGTTCCTTTACTGTTGTTTTTCTCCTGATGTGGTTATGTAACAATTTAGGCCGAGTCTTTGCCTTGCTTGCGATGTCATTTTCGTATTGTCTTTCTGCCTCTCTTCTCATCCTGACATAATCATTCCTGGCATTCTGGTATCTTTCTCTGCTCTCCAGTGTCCTGTTATTCCTATAGTTTCTCCATGCCCTTTTACTTTGCTGCTTAGCTAGCCTACATCTCTGATTAAACCATGGGTTTCTCATTTTCATTTCTCTGCTTTCCTTTTGGACTGGGACAAACTTGTTTGCTGCGTCCTTGCACTTCTGCGTGATGTAATCCATCATATCTTGGGCTGTCTTTCCCCTGAGCTCTGTTTCCCATGCTATATCTGTTAGGAATTTTCTTATCCCCTCATAGTTTCCCTTTCGGTATGCTAACCTTTTGGTTTCGGTATCCCTCCTCGAGTTCAATAACCCTTCTTCAATCAAGTACTCAAACACCAGTACACTGTGGTCGCTCATTCCTACTGGGTCCTCAAAACCGATTTCTCTTATGTCGGAGTCATTCAGAGTGAAGACTAGGTCGAGTCTCGCTGGTTCGTCATTGCCTCTCATCCTTGTGGGTTCTCCGACATGCTGGGTTAAAAAGTTTCTTGTCACCACCTCCAATAGTTTAGCTCTCCACGTATCCTCGCCTCCATGCGGTTCCTTGTTCTCCCAGTCACTACGGGGCCTGACAGCTGAGTAGACAGCGCTCTCGACTCGTAATCCTAGCATCCGTGTTCGATCCTCCGGTGATGGCAGAAACGAAACTTGGCAGTTTCTGCCCAAACTGCCCCATCCCACCCCACAGGGTGGATGGGGCAGTGAAGCTAACAAGCGAGGAAGGGGGGGTTAGTTGGACGAAGTTATGCTTTTTTTTATGTGGTAAGTTCTTTTGATTATTTGAGGGCATACATCACATTTTCAACCATGTAGTGGTCTGTTTTGATTTGCCTACTTTTCTGGATGCCTACCCTGGTCAATGGCAAGATGACATATTTTAAATAAAAAGTGTTCTTGGGCCATTGCTCCCTGCGCCTCTCAAAAGGAGGGGGGGGAAAGGTTCTGGTTCGTGGTCCCCGGTAGGCATACAAAGAACTCTGACTGATGACACCAAGTAGTACAACACTTCATCAATAAGATAGCTTAAGGGAGCTGATGGGAGCTCCCCACAAAAAATACATAGATGTATTATGACTGTTCTGTGATTATGATTAGTCTATGATTATGACTTTAAGGAAAAGAAGGTAGTGATTCAATTGTATAAATCTCTGGTGCACCCTGATTTGGATTACTGTATCCAAGCATGGAGACTGCATCTTTTCAGGACATAGCTGCTCTGGAGAAAGTGCAACACCAAGCAACAAAAACTATTCCAGAGCTAAGTGAATTCTCGTATCAGAAACGGTTGAGGGTCACAGGACTAACAACACTGCAAACCAGACATGACAGGGGTGGATCTCACTGAAACTTTTAAATACTGAACAATATGCAGGATGTTGATCGTGACAATTTCTTCAATGGGTCAGATGTAACACAAACAAGATGTAACATAAACGATTCTTCGCGGTGGGGATCGTATTCCAGGGACCTGCCCGAAACGCTACGCGTAATAGTGGCTGTACAAGAATGTAACAACTCTTGTATATATCTCCAAAAAAAAAAAAAAAAAAAAAAAAAAAAAAAAAAAAAAAAAAAAAAGAAAGAAAAGAAGTAACAGTTTCAATCCAAACAAGCCACAATGTAGGACTGAGAACAGGAGATGCTTTTTCACCCACAGGGTTATAAACCCATGGAA